AACATATCAATAAAATCTACACAAAATTCTCTATCTTTTAGCATCAGAACCCAACCTTCTGATCAAGTCTAATTTGAGAAAAAAGCCTATCAAAAACCGGCAATTTAATCTGCCGTACCCGTTATATTCAAAAATATAGAAAAGAATTTAAGTAAAATCATTTTTCTTTCTCGTCTAGTTGAATATGACCGTCTAAACGGTCATATTCAGTGGGGGACCTCCAGGTCGATACTCAGTCCCAACCCTAATAGCAGAGGAGTGCTAAGGAAAAACGTCCATAACTCCCGAACCATGAGTGTTCATGTCACTTGGATTCGCTTTTATAGAGGACACTTCAGACTATCTATACCAACAAAGCAATCACTGGATTCCTATTTGAATTTTGGAAAATCCAAGCTAGTTTTTCAGAGATCTTCTGGAAATCCGACTTCGAAAGTTTTTCCAAAAATAGGTTCTGCTTGTAGAAAGATCACCTCAAATCTTGGCTATCGAATGGCGAAAATCACAAGTCTCTATTTTTATTTTGGTGCTGAGTTATTCAAAAAATAACCACTGCTCTTGTATTTTGGCTAAGAAGTTCATATTCTCGACGAATTGGCAGATTCTATGCCAGTTCGGATAGCACTGAAATGTCAAATGTCTGTTATTCTAAGCAACCTAAACCTGTTCTAACTATCAGCTCGCATTTGTACTCTACCATTGGTTTAATCGAGTTCCTGGCAACACTGAATAGAACAGATTTTGACGATTTATTAGAGGCCATTATTGATTGGGAAGAATTGTCTGTAAATTTGGACCCAGTATTCGGAATCTGCATTAAATTCTGCTACGACGGATGTGTCTTTTATAGAAATCTGAGACCAAAAATATTTCGATGTTCCAAAGGGGTAAGGCTAAATTTTTTCGAAAACAGAACGTCGGTTTTTGAGGGGATCAAATAACTCATTTTGTTCCGAATTTGATGTTGATTCCGAATATGTAACTTGTTTTTCAGAAATATTGTAGGATGAAAAGTGACCTTGTTCACCTTGTTCTGCAAATAGCCATACAAACAAGATAAGTTTCCCACTTCGACTTTCTGAACGAGTCCACGCTAAATACGCCTTTTCTAAACTGAATGTTGACTATTGTTGTGTTTTATAATTCAATTTTTTCTATTTTTCTTCATTTAGTAGGTCATTACCGTCAGTTAGAAGAGCGGCAGTTCTACTGGAAGATTTACCTACAGAATTGTTCTATATAATATTTGAATTTTTTGATGGTAATGATTTGTACCAAACATTTTACAATTTGAACATAAGGATGAATAACATTATCAATGAAACGGCAAGTCAGTTGAATTTGTCTTCTCCAGCAAACTTTTATTATTGTATGAACGTAATAATGTCGTCATAAATCAATATTGAATGTATCAAATCCTTAATATTAAAAAATCTTCCACCCATTAATAATCACATCTATCAATTTCTATCATTATATTCATTAAAATTATTTACTGAACTTCATTCAATTCCACTTAGACATGTACGTGATAATGATTTACCTTTTATAACAGACCAATTAATCGATTCATTATTATTATCATTATCATCAAAAGAATTACAATCATTAGAAAATCTTTTTCTTAAAGGAGAAGAAGTATCATCATCATCGAAGAATGTAACACATTTCATTGAAACAATATTTATTTTTTCTTCATCGTTATTACCGTCATTAACATATTTTTATTTAAATAATTGTATAAATATAAAACTGAGTGAACTATTTATATCAACATTAACAACAACAAATTTACAATATTTATTTTGTTATCATATGTCTATTGAATATCTTATTCATTTAGTGCCAGCATTACAAAAATTAAAATCAATCAAAATTTATTACCTGTGTAATCATAATGATAAAGATTATTTACCACTTACAACAATAATAACAAGAATATCTTCTTACCAAATTTAATACGAACCCTTGCCAATGGCAAACAATGGGCATTGTTATTATCGAGATTTTGTCCAATCTTGATCAAGAGACAGGTTTAACCTACAAGATCCTTCTCGTCCGTCACCAGATAATCTAGAATCAACATTTAAAAATACTAGTGGATATTGGCAACAACGAATTGTTGAATTTAAACATGACACAGTGTTATGGTCTAATACATATGGAAGTTTTGAATTTAATGTTAAACCATGTTTACCACCTGCAAGTTAAATCATAAAAAATATCTTTTTAAATCTATGGAGTGAATGGATAGTATTTTCCATTTCTTTCATACTTCACCTAATTAAAAAAGAGATCGTAGTCGTCATCTGCGCATCAAACCATGCAACAGAAAATTTCTTCTATGCAGACTTTACTTCATCAAACATTTACTCACCATCCAATTTCTCACTTTTTCTATAGATTAAAAGTTAGTTCCGTACATTCTGTTTTCAGCAGAAAGATTTGCTCCTAAAACTGTTGTAGAATAGAAGAATCCTTGCGGATTTTCACTCGATAAGGAATCTACTGGAACAGTTCTTGTCTTGATGCACAAGTCGATGCACAGATATTTCTATTTGATTAGAAATTCTTAAATTTATACTTTGGTAGATTATATATAATGACTGTGTAGGTTTTTATGTGATAAATGTTGTAACAGTAGGACAATTATTCTTGCATTACCAATCAATATTCAACTGACTCCAAGATGGATTTTAAAAAATTACCTGTTTAATCATTTTTTCGGCTTATGCTTCTGGCCATTCATCTTGATGTGCCCAACCAAAAACACCGCGTATTGTCATTTCTTTCAGAAATATTATCACATGGTTTTGTGGATCAAAAAAAGCAAAAGAATAACGATGATTTAATGATAGTGTATATTCTGCAAGGAGATTTCTGACTATCCTGTTTAATATCAGAAAAAAGAGATTGAAGCGGCACAACCTCGAGCAATATTTTCAATACATTGACTTTCCAATATTCGCATTGTGGGACTTCATGTGGACTTAAAAAGTGAAGCTGAGCTTTTTCAAATTTAATTAGTGGAAAATAAACTGGCATATATGGCTGTTTTTATCATAAAAATACTTTTTGCATCCCAAATAATCGATGACAACTCAGATAAAAGCAGCCTAAAACTTACATCTTTGCTACGCAGGGATAGGTGGTTTTCAGAAAAACCTTGATTTCGGGGAATTTCAGTTTCACTTAATATAAAGTATATTTTCAATCAAAACAAACATGACATTCGTACGTAGCTGCACGAAAAATGACTTCTAACAACAACTCCTCATATGTCAGACGAAAAATGTCCATTGTGTTCATGAAGATAGACTGACTGTATGGCTGATGAATATGATAGACTATTATATGTTATTTAAAATCATTTCTGAGATGCCTAGCATGGGACATTTCAGAGTTTCCGTTTATATCAATTTCGGATTCTCATAACTTTTCTTCATGAGATGTGAGAGACTATAAGATAATCTTACATTTCTTGGATTCTTCATCTCTGTAATTTGAAATTGTACCGCAAATACAAATTCTTCCTCGTTTGCGAATATGCTGATTAACCATTTCGTGATAAAAATCACCACCAACCTTTTTTGAGGAAACAGAGCGAGACAGCACGTTAGGATTAAGTATAAAGTGTCAACAATCCCAAAATTTAGCGAGACTGTTGTCGGCTATTTTTCATACTTGAATAGAGCTCACCGAGCTATCTCGGAAAGTTTTACTCTTTATAAAACGTTTTTTCTGTGAAAAAAAGTTTAAGAATACTCAAATATTGAACATAGACAAAAGTAAACGAAGATTTAACCTTTATCATTGTCGTTATCCCTCAAATAATTCTGTACTAATTCTTGACGAAAAATTGAATATTAAAAAGCAGATTTGGTCGAATTTAACTTTGAAGTTATGAGAAAATAACATAAAAGATGTCATGAGTCCGTTTCAAGAGTTGTTGCCGTGCTCCAAGGATTTTCTTGTCATTTTAAACCTAAATTCGACGAAATCTCGTTTTTAATATTAACTTTTTGATCAAGAGTTAAGAAAGAATTGTTTTGAGAGATAAAAGCAATAATAAAGATTAGACTTTCGCTTATTTTGAAATTTTTTCACGAAAAACTCGTTATTTAAAGAGTAAAAGTGACATATTCCTATTATCGAAAAAAAAATGAGACGAGACCGAGTTCAAGTACTTATAACTTTTTAGCTAAAAGAGTTAGAGACCTGCGGTTTTCACCATCAGAAAGACACACAAGACACAATCTCATCGAAAGTTTTTTCGCTAGTCTTGTAGAGCGAGAAGTCCTCTTTCGAATTGCATCTAAGAAACCCCACAAATTTTGCTTCCTCGCGCAGCTACAGTCGTTTTAATCCGTTGAGCAATCGTAAGGGACTTTTCGCTATGGAAAAGAAAAAATAGTCGAAACATAGGTTATCGGTCCACAGTGGGCATTTTTTGCTAGAGCAAGCGGACTTTAGCTTTATGAGTGAACTAAAATTTCATGAACCATCTTTTTATAGGTTTTTCATGATCCTCTTTCTAATGGCATGAGAGCTGGGTTTTAAAAAAATTTTCTAAGAAGTTTTCCAGAAATCCGGTCTCTGGAAAACCCTTCAGAAAACTTTCTCAATATTTAAAAACGATGCCACTGGAAAGAGCATTGTCGAAAACCTATAAGAAAC